GCAAATGCAAGGACTTTCTGCGTTTTAAGCGAAAACCGTTTTCACTATACTTGTCAAACGTCCTCTGACGATTGCTAATTTACTAGTTATGTTTACGAGACCAGGAAATGGGTTGCTTGCTTTGAATCCCCTTACTTCGTCTCGTTTTTTATTCTTTGCTTTCTTCTCTTAAGAACTTTAATTTCCTGCAGTTTATTCCAGTCTCAGTTTCCATTAATCGCTTGTTTACTTTCGCTGTATAGTTGCAGAAGAACAAATTTTTAGGAGGTTTTGATGGTGAATTGAGTTTAATTTGTTCTAATTTAGTTAGGCTTCTGTACAAAATACTTAGAAGAAACTGAAAAGCTTGGCCGCTTTGTCTGGCTTGATGTATTTATCATTTTGAATCTAGTTGCTTTTACGAAAAATACGTTAAAACTTCTTTTTAGCACAGCCGTTCAGGCTTTTTAGTAGATTCTTTCTTAATGTCACAGCTATGAGGGTGGCAATTTGAATTGTAATAGCTTGAAGGTTCCAAAAGGTGACTGCTTTTACAAACAACTTCTTTGAAGACTAAAACTGGAATTTGTTGAGGCCTACGATGCTGTCAAAGCCTTCTCAAAATTAAATTTTTGATGGACAACACTAGTTATTAGCGTAAAAATTTGTAGGACAGACATACTTTTTATAGGGGTAGGAAGCATGGACTGAAGTTTTTAGGTTTACTTATTTTCAAGAACATTAAGAAACGTTGAAGTATGCATCTCTTGGGGTAATTTGCTGAATTTTATATAACTGCTGCTTTTCGAAATTGGTATTTACAGATTCTATTTTATTTTCATGCCTTCATCGTTTAATCAATTTATCAACTTCTTAAAAGTTCTGCGAGAGCTGTTCCTGCTTCTGACAAACGCTAATGTTGGACTTTGCAGGAAATTGTGCGAAGTTGCAGCTAACAGAGAATATATATATTTTGAAATTTCTGCAACTTCAGCAGCTTGGCTTCTTTGTTCGCTCGTACGCGCAGCACCGGGTTTGTTGCGGCAGGCTATTGCGTCGCTCGAAAAAAAAGATTTCCTGAGTAAGTTTGGCCTGCACCCTAATTTTTTTGTTCATTGCTTACTTCAAGAAACTTATGTCTATTCTGAAGTACGTGGTTCAATGAAACGCAAGCGACTGAGAGAAGAGTTTCTGCTGTATATCACAACCACTTTGAATTCCTTTCAATGGCCTTATTATACTTAAACCTCTTAGTAACAAATTTTTCTTAAAATTTATTTGAGTAGCCAATGGCATCTCACTCTATTGGTCAGAGCCTCAGCTTATATGTCTTTTATAAATTAGTCTCGGCTTGAACAATTGGCTGCGCCTGCTCTAAAATTCCTTAGTCGGAATTTCATATTCATTTTCTCCTGGACCTCTCGTTTTAGCATACGACAACTGCGTCAACTTCTCCGTTTTGAACGTTGTTTCTCGAATGTGCCAGTCCATAACTGCTGTACAACAATTAATGTCTCTAGGATTCCTGAAATTTTGGGTTCAGCACATTATCGAGATATGTCAGGGTTAGAAAAAGCGTTATTTTTTAAACCCTTAATATTTATTTAAGAACCATATTAAAAGCAATTTTTGTATTATTAACATTTTTGCCTGCATAGTCAATTTCGCCTCAGGCAACTTATCTGATGACAAATTACTATCTTGCGAGTCCTCACAAATGGAGGAGCTAGTAAGCTTAGTGCATTGTGTAGCGTCACTTTCCTTTATTCGAGCAGTAGTTGAATATTTGGATCATGAAGGATCTCCGTTATTTCGGCCTTTGATTTCTTTTTCTGTTATGGCAATCAAATGCGTATCTCACGTTGCAAATAATTGGCCTTTCAAATTGGAAAATGCCACTATTAATTTGTTGTGCAGGTAATGGAACTCACGTTTATGGCTGCTAAGTTATAGCTTCTGTATCATAAATTGAAAGCTTCTTTTTTATATGATTCTTCAATGTTAATAGTTTTTTCCAGATGTGCCGCTGCAGGTGGAGGCCACAGAGGTCGCATTGCTGCTACATTGTGTGACATCCTGCGATCTAGTGGTCTCGGTGGCTCAGTACAGCAGATGGTTTTACGCTGTGTTTTGGAAGACGAGACAGTTACAGTGAAGGTTTTTGACAAAATTTCGCAGTCTAATTCATTAAGTTATGAAATTTCAGGTTTGTTTATGATGTTTGTCGTAGTTCTACGATTTAGAAACTATGGTCTTTTAGATTTTTTTATTTTTTCGCGCTATTAAATACGTCATATGTTTCTATCCAGACAAGTCTTATGTTCTTTCGTTGTTCCGTATCTTTATTAAAAAAAATTTTTCTTTTTAAGATCGTTTATTACACCCCGTGTTCGGGTGTCTTCGACGAGAACGAGTGTTAACAGTATCGCAGTATTCGAGCTTTTGTGAAATCCTTGATATGGCTAAGATGAAATCAGTCAAGAAGGCTAGTTTGCAAAATGTTGTCCTTTGTAGGTTTCGAGTTTTCCGACAGTGATAAAAAGTCTTTCTTGCCTGTTTGTTAATCTTAGCACCTCTTCTTTGTACAGGTGATTTTTCAGGACTGTAATTCACCTGGTACAGTTTTACCAGGTTTTGATCAGATGTCGTCTAAAAATGGTAATCTAATTTCTTGGCTAGGCCTCTCCGCATCATATTACAAGTCTTTTTCATTCGATACTTCGGAATTTTTAAAGTTTCGCCAGTTGTTATTATCTGTTCCAGAAATTAAGAAATAGGAGAGAAAGCATGAAGTATTAAATTTTCTGCTTAGTTATTCATCGCCAAAACTTAGAAAATTTGCCAGGATTTGTTCTGTATAGCTGTCGTTTAGAGCTCTTGATCTGATAAACAGTTGATAGAAAATCTAAAATTTTAATTCTGCTGGTAGGCTACTCTTTTTTCAGAATCAGTGCTTAGTCGTGTTGTTTTTTTAAACAAATGGAATTTTTAAGAAATGACTATCCAAGGAGAATTGCAGAAAAATTGTGTTTTTTAACTTTTTGTCAAAAAGCGATATACAGGATTTTATGCTCGTAACATCCTGTATATGCAGCTTGGTTATTCATTGAAGTTTTAGATTTTGAGTCGTTGGCTGAAAGTTAGATTGTGCATCTTTTTAATGTCATTCCACGTAGTCGGATAGCTACTGGGATGTCAATAAAAAGACGACTTGAACAACTTTAGGGGCAGTATTTTTTCTGCACGGTGGATCCGTTTTTGTCTCCTACACGAGATCATCGAATGGTGTAACAGGTAGAGAATGCACCTAAGCTCATTTTTGTTACTCTTAGTTGTTTCTCATTTGACTACTTATGACGTCATCAGGTGTTCAAGTTGTTAGATAGCACAAAGTCTCTATAATGTATCATTTTTCTAAAATTTAAAAACCAGTTGTTTCGTCATCGCTCTTAAAAACTCGTTCAAAACCGTGCAGACAAAAGCCGATGTTGATCCCTTATTCAGGTGGAAGAAGCAGGCTACCAGAATAAATTAAAAATCTTCAAATTCTTTTTTTTAGCAAAGATATGAGTTCTTTCAAGCTATTTTTAGACAAAACCTGGCAATTTCTCTGACATTTTTAATTCATTTTCTGCATCTTCGATGAGATCCTTAAGCAGTCTTCATGCTGGAATTGGTTTTTTATTGGAAGGAACCGTATACGTTTCGCGGTACACATTTTTTTTCAACATCTCAGGATTTTCCTGTTCTTTATCAACTTGTATGACTTAGTACCTGGTCGAGAAGTCGAGAAAGACTAATTAAAAAAACATGCGGCACAGCTAAACCGTTCTAAAGTACAAAGCGAAATGGTTTTATCTCTTGCAGACTCAGAAAAGTGGATTACATACGTTTACAAATTGCATGCGAAATTAGAGTAAAAGCAAAACTTGAACATTTTTTTTTGGGGGGGGGGGGG